ACCCAATGAAACTAGGAAAAATATATTTTTCTACATCCTCTGAGTTGTGTAACGAAATTGTTAACATGACGGGTACAGGCCGAAACAGAAACAAGATAGAATTTGAAACTGCGTGTGCAGCAAATTCCTTCATTTAACTAAAATCCTGAAGAGCTAGAACCTTTGCGCTTATATAAATTTTTTTATAAATAAAAGGGGTGTCATACTAAATGTGGATACTGAGAAAATTGTAGAAATACTTCAATCTCCGGTTAAGGTTAAAAATGTTGGAAGAATGGTTAAAACAGTTACAGAAAATATGATGACCAAGTTGATAAAGATAGGTAGATTTGACGCTCACTTTCATCCGGAAGTCGTAAAATTGTATGATATGAGATGCCGTGTTGACCCATACATTCCACCGGTTCGCCAATGCCGAAACTGCTTTAAATTTAACCGTATACAAGATCAATGGAAAAGCAAGCAAAGATGCGAAATTTGTAGCCAGAGTCATGGAGGAAGTTGTGCAAAGGAAGTGAAATGGAATAACTGCTCAGGAAAATATAAACCATCAGATAAGTCTTGTCCAGAATTTTTCCGAGTTCGGGCAATAAACGGAACAAAACTACATCTAATACGTTATATTGTACAATTACTAACAACAAATTTAACCTCCTGGAAAATTTAGCAGAATATACAGGACTAGAGGAAAGCGATAATCCCAACGTTAATTCTCATTCTCGTAAAAACATTACAGGAAACAAAGCCGGACAAATACTGTAAAGTATACAACTTAAAAACCACAATACAACACAAATATCACAAAATACACAAATATTTATCACAAGCAAAATTAATTATTATTAAGGAGACTTATCGATGGGTAAGCACCTCCTAACAACTTTCATGTTTAAAATTATATGTTGTATGTATTAGCATAACTGTAATGTACTAATATGTAACACAGATTTCTAAAATTAAAAAAAATAATAATTTTAAAAGTTCTAACGAAAATGTGAATATTTAATATATTTCTGTGGAACGTGCAAAACCCGTCTTTGATGTAACCATCATCCCCTTAAGCAACCTATCGTCCTTAAGCCCCCCCTCATACTACAAAAATGCTATACAAACACAAACACACCTAAAAAGTGCCATCTGATAAACTCCATAACATTCTGCCAATTATTATTTGGAGATCGTGAGATGCGGTCTGGTGTGATGTAGGTTTTAGTAAAATATTTTCTTTATCGTGCCAACGTTTCGATCTTTATTGAGATCATCTTCAGTGCCTGGGAAGTACCTTAAACTCTGACTGGCCAAAATTCATATCCGCCAAGGAAAATTTTGCCAATAATCTAAAGGTCGATGAAATAAACTATAACACTTTTGTGGAAATATCCTGTGGTGCCTGCATTTCAGAAATCAAACAAGGCCGACCGAAAGAAAAGAAATTGACCAAAGAAGGTGGACAGCGGAGTGTAACAAAGGCATGACAGCTAGAAAATCGGCATTGAACAAATTCAAAGCGTCCTCGTCTTGAGAAAACTATATTGCCTATAAACGGGAAAACGCAAACATGAAAAAAACAATTTTAAATGCTATAAGATATTCATGGCGGTCATTTTGTCCCTCGTGTTATTCAAATTAACCCTTTTCTATTCATAGTAACCATTGTTTTTCTTTAATTAACATTTTTTAATTTCAAATTAACTTTTTTAATTCAAATTAATCCTTATTAATTTCAAATTAACACTTTTTAATTTCAAATTAACTCTTTTTAATTCAAAATAATCGTTTTTAATTTCATATAAACCACTTTTTATTTCAAATTAGAACTTTTTAATTTTAAACAACTATTTTAAATTTCAAATTAATCAGTTTTTAATTTATTTAAAATAAGCAGGAGATTGTATGAAATATAAGGATGTAAAGTAAAATTCCCGTATGTTTCAGAAATTTTTTTTAAAATATAAAATAATTAGGCTTTTATAACATTTTATGATAATTAATTCCAACTAAAATTTAAAATTACATCAAATTTAATATAAAACCCCAAATTTTTCTATTATTAATTCGATATTGTTTTAGTATAAAACAATTTTTTACAGATCATTTATTATATATTTTAAACAAATGACCGTGAAATTAATATTCGAGACTTTTTTTAAAGATAAAAATTTACACACCTACATTTGATCGACCAAGTTTGTGTTACAAAACTTGAATTAATATAAGAATCATGTTTTTATATTTAATTTTATCTAAAAAATTTTATTGTAATTAATTTTCAAATGGTATTGAAGATGAGTATCAATTTTAAATTTTGAAAATATTCCCATATTATAAGAAAACCCCATTCTTTTCATGTTTATTTTTATATCAATTTTAATTTTAATGGTAATTAATTTTCATATCGACTTCCTTTTTTCACGAGGGTATTGCAACTACGAGGATATTTGAACTCTCGGGGTGTTAGTGTTTTTGAAAAAAAAAGCCCATCTGTAATTATGAGGGGTTCAAATGCAGGGCCGCTGGATTCGAACCCGGCACCTTAACCTTACAGTGACGAACGCCGTGGCAACGCCTAAACCGTTGCAGCCACCGACGAACCCCTCTAAAAGCCTTTAAAAAGTGTTTTGTATTTACTTGTATTGTAATTACAATTAATTAAGGTTTTTAATTGAGATAAAAAATTCTATGGCACGAGCGGGATTTGAACCCACGAACTTCGGCTAGATACGCCGCTGCTCTACCACTTGAGCAGCTATCGTGACCTCGATCCACTCGGACACCAACTTCCTATCTCAACCCCACCTTTTAAGTTTTCCCTCCTTTTTGCCATTTTTCAAACTCAAAAGGTGGGGTTGAGATAGGAAGTTGGAGTCCGAGTGGATCGAGGTCACGATAGCTCAAGTGGTAGAGCAGCGGCGTAACTAGCCGAAGATCGTGGGTTCGAACCCCGCTCGTGCCATTGACTTTTTTATCTCAATTAAAAACCTTAATTAATTGTAATATATTAATTGGTCAAGCGGACCACGAAATTAGTGAAATTAATAATAAATTTGATAATGTATTAATTAATTAGTTTATGAACAATTATTATTTCATATTTTAAAAAATCTGGAAGTATTTGAAGAACATTTTTTTATATTTAATTTTACATTACTTTTAATTTTAACTGTAATTAATTTTCATGTGGTATTTGAGATAAGAATCAATTTTATATTTTCAAAAAATATTCAAATATACAGGAATTTTACTTTTCATGTTTATATTACATGCCATATCCTAAGATTTTTTAATGCTTTAAAGGAAGCTAAGAAGTGTTAATTTCTTGGTTATCTTAAACTTAAATCGAGAAACGTCTTTCTGCTATGTGTGGTGATGAATCTGTAATTGCAACGTTACCGACCAGCTTGGCGTACTTGCCCTCGCTGGGTTTGTTTGTCAGACTACTGAAGTAGACGAAACGTGTCTGACCTACCAAATCACTAAGTATAAGCAGACCAAAATGATCAGAAACGATCAAACTACATCTTAACCAGCCCGCAAACTCCAAAAGGAAATCTCACAAATATGTTTACAATACGGCAGATTTTTGGGTTGGAAAAAAAAATATTGAAAAATTATTAAAAAAACCTTAATGAATTGAAATACAATACAATATAAAAGTTGAACCTGTATTTTCGTCATTAATATTCTTATGGATATTTGCAGGGATTAGAGGATTCAAGGATATATCTTGTAGAGAAAATTTACTTAGATGAATTTCCATTTCAGGCTGTTGGCTCGCCGTTGAATTAATTAAGTCGATTTTAGGCAGAATTTTTGGATGTCCGCTAGATGTCAATTCGTAGACCAGATGATATCCTTTGTAGTAGATCGCGGACTCCGTCTGCATTAGGTAGATTCCGTGAAGTGTTTTCGTTTCGGTTTCTTTACGTGTGACAATCGTTAATTTGTCAGGCGTAATAAAGACGATTAAATATTTATTTATCTCTTTTATCAGTTCGATATGATTACTTGTCGTGTGAAGACTGACAAGTGTGCAGGAACGTGCAGGTGTGATAAGGGAGGAATGTGAAGGGTTGCAACAGATAAGGGTCAAGCGATTATGTAACATATACATATATATTTTTTTTTTCCAACCCAAAAATCTGCCGTATTGTAAACATATTTGTGAGATTTCCTGTTGGAGTTTGCGGGCTGGTTAAGATGTAGTTTGATAGTTTCTGATCATTTTGGTCTGCTTATACTTAGTGATTTGGTAGGTCAGACACGTTTCGTCTACTTCAGTAGTCTGACAAACAAACCCAGCGAGGGCAAGTACGCCAAGCTGGTCGGTAACGTTGCAATTACAGGTTCATCACCACACATAGCAGAAAGACGTTTCTCGATTTAAGTTTAAGATAACCAAGAAATTAACACTTCTTAGCTTCCTTTAAAGCATTAAAAAATCTTAGGATATGGCATGTAATATAAACATGAAAAGTAAAATTCCTGTATATTTGAATATTTTTTCAAAATATAAAATTGATTCTTATCTCAAATACCACATGAAAATTAATTACAGTTAAAATTAAAAGTAATGTAAAATTAAATATAAAAAAATGTTCTTCAATTACTTCCAGATTTTTTAAAATATGAAATAATAATTGTTAATAAACTAATTAATTAATACATTATCAAATTTATTATTAATTTCACTAATTTCGTGGTCCGCTTGGCCAATTAATATATTACAATTAATTAAGGTTTTTAATTGAGATAAAAAAGTCAATGGCACGAGCGGGGTTCGAACCCACGATCTTCGGCTAGTTACGCCGCTGCTCTACCACTTGAGCTATCGTGACCTCGATCCACTCGGACTCCAACTTCCTATCTCAACCCCACCTTTTGAATTCGTGGGTTCGAATCCCGCTCGTGACACTCACTTTTTTATCTCAACTAAAAAACCTTAATTAATTGAAATATATTAATTGGTCAAGCGGACCACGAAACTAGTGAATTGAATTGTATTGTATGATGATAATCGTTGTACTAATTATTATTTTTATAATTATTTATTGTATGCTTAAGTTTGAAATTTGTCGAAATAAAATAAACAGCATAAATTCAAAAGATGTTAAAACAGATTCGAATATGGAAGAAATCGAATTAAATAAACTTAATGTTTTATAATCGTATATTATTGAATTATATTGTATTATGAATATGACTTGAATCATGGGAATTATAAACAATGTATGTAATGAAGGTAATATGTAGCTTATTGTAGTATTGTATGATAATACTGTAATAGGGAATCTTAAGGTCCAACTGCCAGGAGGAAGTTTGTCTTTTAAAGGGGGAGGTGTTACATACTCGCTTGACCATTATCTGTTGCAACCCTTCACATTCCTCCCTTATCACATCTGCACGTGTTCGCTTCCAAGAAATCCTTCCTTCGTTACATCCCCAAGCCTTTGCTAATATTAATATTTTTTATTCAATCCGTTCCGGACTTTAATCGAATATAGACCGAAGATTCCCAAATTGGAATTGGTTATTCCAGTTTTGTATTTCCTTGCTATTTAATATAATAAATAGTGTTCCTTTTTAAAAACTAATTTAATACATGCAAAACTATATATATGACCATATATAAGCGTTTTATTGTACAAAGTTAGACGGAATCAATAGGCGCAGTAGTGCCTAGACCTGTTTATGCCCTCCTATGGCAACTTGTTCTTTGGTATCAGTCATGGAAAAACGTCGCAAACCGAGTCTAACACAAGCCTTGGCCAAGCAAGTGTTAGAACAAGCACACATTCTCGAGCAACTGGCGAAAAAGAAAAAGGAAGCTAGTGAAGTAAGTGAAACAATTTTCAATATAAACAATGTTAACCAAAATTGTATTAAAATTATTTTGACCCACTTTTTGTTAAACAAATATAACAAGAATTTGAGATTTTTGCATACCTACGTTAAAAAGTTCGTACAATAAAACTTACAAAAACAATTGAATTCTCTAAAGTTCACTGCATTTTTTTTCCAAGGAAATACCCATCAAAAAAGGTTATACGTTTCGCCTAGAATCGAGAAACCCGTTTCGAACACAGACAGTTTACAAAATAATGGAAGAAATTATTCTTGAAGGAATGGATGGCTTTTATTATAATCCTAAAGAGGCTGCTGAACTTTGTAAAAAGTTTTCTTCTGAAATAAGGACAAAAGTTAAAGCGCTCAATTTCGAAAGGTATTATAATAATATAATATAAACCTGTAATATGTACATTAGAAATATTAGAACGTCTATAAAAATGACCTTTTTCAATTTCAAATAAGATAAAAATAAAGCAGAAACTATGAAAAAGATATGCTGAGGCAAGTGTAGCCTGTGAGTACCCATTAGCTGTTACCACTGCTTCAACAATGCTTCTGACTTCCAAGCAGCAGCCAATGAACTTGCAGGACTCCTCTTTATATCCTGAGAACAGTCACAGATTCGTCTAAAAAAGGCCACATTTCATTCGTTGATCTGCTGTTTGAGCAGCCTCCGTCATTTAGGATAGCTATGTGGTGAATGCTGGGTTAGCTAACCTTTTCCATTAGGAGTGAACGCTGTTTCAACAATGATTCCGACTTCCAAGCAACAACCAATGAACTAGCAGCATTGCTTTATATAAGTACAGGTTGAACCACTGAATATAAAACTCAACTCTTAAGGAGCGAACCGCAAGTAACAGCCACAGGCAACAGAGTTCTTTTAAAAGCTCGATTCATTGCATACTCGATAGCTGCACAAAGGACTCACTACCAACTTCAGCTGTACATCTATCATGAGCACTCATAGCTCTAAAACAACAACAGTCATTCTCAGAGTCACACAACATCAGCCACTAAAGTGGTGACCCCAATATATGTTCCTGTGAATATTTTAAGTGACTGGAGGAACACCCGATCTTCGATTCATTTGCCTGCAGTTTGGGCAATCTCCATCACCAGAGGAGCTATGTAGTGCCTATGGTTAACTAAAGTTTACCAATGCTTCCGAATTGCAAGCAACAGCCAATGAACTTAGCAACACCCACATGGATCAACCAGTGCTCAACTTATTTAGAGCAGTTTCGTCTATGAGATCTCAACTCTAAAGGAACAAGCCACACATGCACACACCAGCTAAAGAGAATAGGTTCCTTTTAACAGCTCAACTCAATGCATCCTCTACAACCTCATCGGCTGACAGCTACAAAACATCCATCCTGCTCGCCAATACCCATCACAGCACCCAATAGCTCCTAAACTATACAGGTTGAAAAACATGCTGCTAAAATGGACTATAGTCTAATGGTGGCATTGCAGGTAACAACTCCGCCTATATTGCCATATGCACAAATCCCTTGCATTCTCCACTGCATCCTCTGTTTCGTCCTCTTCATTTCTTTTCTATTACATGTAGTAAGTTCAAGAAACTTACAGGAACAGTTTGACATTACAACATAAATACATGTAAATTATGCTGGATATGTAATTTGTTATGTCTGCTTCTTCATTTCTCTGTATTCCATGATGCCGAGGCATCCACAAGAAAGTTAATCCATCGCCTATGATTTTGCATCTGATAAGTCAGTATAATATGTCTTGAACTCAAAAGTGAACAAAGAATCAATGTTTTATTGCTGCTGAGACTGCCAAGAAATACATATGCCAATGTTGGTAGACATGTTACAATGAGTCTATTGAGTGTCGTGGCAGGAGTCGATGACCAAGTCAGATGTGGTAGCTGATGTTGATAGTGAGAGTAGTGATTGTATGTGATAGGTGCAGCTATCAAGTGTACAATGAGGACTCTGCAGCCACAAATACCGCAAATTCCAACAACAGCAAATGCTGTCCGCTCCTTTACAGTTGAGATATCCTATATTTACTGGTTGACCTGCTTGTAAAGAGGAATGCTGATAGTATATTGGCTATGGCTTGGAAGTCAGAAGCATTGTTGAAGCAGTGATGACTCCTAATAGAAACGGTTAACTAACCACAGGCAGTCACCATGTAGATATCATCAATGATGGAAACCAATGAACCTAGTGTAGCCTGTTCTTACCAATAAGTCTGCAATCTGCTCTCAAGTGGAGCTCCTGCTTATATAAAGAAATTCTGTTAGTTCATTGGATATTGTTTGAAAGTTGTAACCATTGTTGAAGCAGTTGAGGCACTTAGTGAAAACTTTAGTTAACCACTAGCGGTCACCAGATAGCACTCCTTAATAATGGAGACTGACCAAACAGTAGGTCAATGAATCGAAAATGGTGTCTTCCCTCCTATAACTAAAAACGTTCCAAGGCACATGATCACATTGGGATCACCACTTTAGTGACTGAGGTTATGTACTTTCCCTGAGAATAGCCATTGTTTTGGAGCTATGAGTGTTCATGAAAGAGTTGACCACCCAGATGGATGTGGTAGCTAATAGCTTTTAAAAGAACTCTGCTGCCTGTGGCTGCATTTGCTGTTCGTTCCTTTACAATTGAGATATTCTATATTCAGTGGTTGAGCCCCAGCTTAAATAATAATAATAATATATGCTTTATTGCAAAAAAGTTATAAATATTTCATAATATACTATAAAAGTAAATTTACAGCATGGGAGTCAGATTTGTCTGACTTCAATTTTAGGTCGACATAGAAAAAAAATAGAATTAATCACTAAATATTACAATTAATAGTTTAATTTTTAATAATTACATTATTTACTAACAAACAATAATAAAGGAATGCTGCTAGTTCATTGGCTATTGCATGGAAGTTAGGAGCATTGTTGAAGCAGTGATTACTCCTAATGGAAACAGTTAGTTAACCATAGCACTCATGCTATCCGCAATGTAGACTGTCCAATCAGCAGACCAATGAAGCAAATATAGCTTGTCATCTCAATAAGTCTGTAATTCTCAGGTTGAACTCCTCAAAAATAGATGAGTGCTGCACATTCATTAGCTGCTGCTTGGAAGTCTCACAAGCATTGTCATATCCACATTTCACTTCCTTTACTCTGAAAAAAAGTTGTTTTTAAACCCTAGAGTCAAGTCCATCCAGATGTGTATGTCAGGGTGCCCTCTTTATACTTAATACTTTTAAGGCGTGCTTTCTCAACGAATAAGGTTATAATAAAAGATGGTATAAAGAGATTGAAAAGAGGTCTTTTTTTTTCATATAACTTTATTATTTAACCTGATTTTATAGTGTAACAAATTACATTTCTGTTCTTAGGTACAAACTCATATGCGGTGTGGAAATAGTGCAAAAAAATTTACAAGGTATACATTCAATATGTTCCTTTCTTTGGGATCCTGAAAGAGACAATTTTAGCTTGTATACTTTTGACAAGTTTGATTTGTTTGTAGCCGCTTATGTTTTCGGAGTATATCATGAATAAATTATTACAAGTGTTTAATACTTTAATCGCTTGTTTGCATGTTTTTCTATTTTTCCCTTCCTTTACACTATAAAGTACCCAGAAAATTTCAGTCCAAAGAACGGAAGTGCACTACAATACCGGCAAGTTATGCTTCATCAGGTTAAGTCATCGAATGGTGTCTATGTCATCCTGGATAAAGGTAAAGGCCATTGTGAATTAAGGAAATGAATAAGACAACAAAATCTGTGACTAAATATGTTTTTATTTTTATTTATTTATTTTTTATTTTATTTTTATTTATTTTTTTTTTGTTTTGTTTTGTTTGTTGCTTATATTAACATGACTATTTTTATACATACTCAAACATTGTAACACAAATTTATTTCACAAATGCCTTAATGTTTAAAAAAAAAAAGAAAAAAAGAAGAATAAAGAAAATAGAACTTAACGTTAATAGTAACCCCAACCCAAACTAAAAGTCCCAACATAGAGATAAATCTTTCCTTTTTGCTTAACAAAATTAATCCTTGAAAACAAAGAAAAGTCAATGTATACTATTAAATGTGCACACATGAATAATATATAATGTTCGACACATAAAATACATCAGACTAGTAACTACAAAAAGGTTAATATAGTTGAAAATAAAGAATGCTAATTCAAAGAACATAATGGATATGATCTTCGGCCATTATTGCCATTTAAGATCTTTTAAATAAATGAACTCAATGAAAATAAATTTATAGAAAACTATATATATTTTATTTTATGTATAATTCCTGCATAAATACAGAGTAAAAATATATGATACGTGGAAAATTAAGTCATCACTTATTTTAGATAATAAATTGTGTTGTACTGAATCACATCGTTCACAACACTAATATTTCATTTCCACGGGGCATTTGGTAGATTTATGTTCTATTTCATTTAACATTTTTAAGTACTGTTCTACACTATGGTATTAATTAAATAATAAACGTGTTAACAAAATACAAACTTTTTAAAAATTAACAAAAAATAAAATATAACATAACGAGGAAAACTCAAGGATAATTTATGATGAAACCTGGTAGATATGCAATTTTATGGAGTGAATAATGTACATATCAGTTCCTCACCATTATTTTTTTTTAATTTATTTTTTTGGATTTGGCATAAACAGCTTATTCTATTCAAACTTAAAAAAAAAAAAAAATTATTAAAAAGACAAAATGAGGAACAAACATTTGATATTTAAAAAAAAAATTATAATGATTTATTGGTTTACTTTTGTCTCAAAATTTATAAATAAAATTAATAGAAAACTTTTATCTAATTAAAATCTCAGTTAATTATTAAATTTAAAAAATAATTTATACTTCAAAAATTCAGTACAACACTTAGAAAAATGACTTTTCATGTATATAAAATCATATGCAAGTTTGTTATCTGTTTTCTTACCCTTTCCAAGGGCACATTTCCTGAATTCTACAATATTTCATTCATAGAATTGTATCCAGCGATATTGCTTAAAATAAAATAAAAATTTAAACTGTCTTTAAAAAAAACTTATTTCATAAAAATTAAACAGGCGCAATGATATATTTTGTTTAGCGACAGTATAATAAAACTTACGTAATAAAATTGTATGATAATTGATTGCAACCAGTTGCATAACAAGGCTTTAAATAATTTTCTGAATGACTATCCAGTTATATGAAAAAAAGTCACATCTATTGTCTCTCACATTAACATAGAAAATGTCTAGAAAGCTAATGTGTAATAAAATGTCAATATATACACAAAAATATTCTGAGTTAGCAGTTAAGTCTTATTCATTATCCCTTGAGATTAGGGCAAACAGCCTACATTTTAGAATTCAGTGGAGAATAGAACTAATTACAAAGTAAATTTTTAAAAAAACCCTCTGATTTACATTATAAAATAGCAAACACAGTCATTTACTGTATAAATACATAATTACAGATTAAAAGAACCCTTCACCAAAACAAACAAAAATGGGAAGACTGCAGAATTTTGTAAGTAGTACGGAAATATTAACTTTTTTTTCACAGTACCATATTATATATACTTTTCATACAAAAATAATTATAAGTGGCTTTCACTGGCTACCAAACATATTTATTACATATTATATACATAGTATAATATTATACACTATTCATGATAATAAAACATCAAAAAGACTGCCACTGAGTGAACCAATTTTTTTTTTTTACACACACATTGGAAATAAGAGCATACAGGGCGAACAGAAATGTTCCTTTTTTTAAGTTATTATTTAATTTTTTAAATCTGTCAATATTGGAGAGATCATTTGTGTGTGTGGCCTTTTTGTCCAGATTTTAATCAACTGTTAAAACCAAAAATTTCCTACTTCCAACACCATTAACATTTCTGTTCCAAATATGTTTAAACTTTTGTATAAAAAAGAAAAGATTTTATATTATACAAAACTACATAATACAATAGATGTTATGATAAATTAAGGCAATTTTTTCCCCACCATCATTTTACAGTGTGAATCTGTGACATCAGTTATTTAAGATCTCATCTAGGTAGATTTGTATCTTTTTTTAACTAGAACACCCTTCATCCTACATCTATACATATAACAAACCAAAGAGTAAAATTTATTTTTAAAAGTATTAATTTTCTTAGTTTTGTTATTTATAAACAAAAATAACACATATTTACAAATTGGGCAAATCAAGGTGTGCGGTGGTTTTTTAATTTCTTTTTGCTTTTTTCTTTTTTTAAACCACCAATTATTATATAATCAAATGCAATGTTATACTTTAACATATTAACACAAATTTTTGTACGAATGCCTTGAGCGATTTGCTTTAGCTTTATTTTATTATTATTACTATTCATTATATATATAATATAGTATATAACTATAATATATATATACACAATATTTTAGACCAAGATTAATCTTAACACACTAATCAACAACGGTAACAAAATTTAATGATCATTTCTATGTTGCAGATTTCAATTAGATTATCCATCCAAAAAAACAAAAAAAAAATCAAATTCAAAGAAAGAAAAAATGAAAGAAGAAAAATATATATGGCTTTGTAGGAACAAATTATGTCAGTAGTTTTTTAAATTTTCTGATGGATGATCACAATTATATCTATAAGGATTTTGACAGTCTTTTTTTCTAATAAAAAATCAAATGTTCTCATTTGAAAGATGCTTATGATGACTTGAACGGGTCCTTGATTCCTGACTAGTCCACTCCCGAGGTTTTGACTTGAAGTGGTCACAATCTTGAGAGAAAAAATGCAAAATTTAATAAAAAACGCAATTTATTTGACACAATGGATAACGGATTTTCTATTATCACAACCACCCAAAAAAACGAAAATAAAATAAAACAGCATTGAGTAGAGAAGAAACTTTCTAGTTCAAAAGAATTGTTAGCATGCATTAAATGTATAGCAACTTTAATCATTTTTCTGCTTCTAAAACTGTGAATTGAACAATATTATATTTAATCAGCAAAACGTGTCATGGCTACAGATGTGGGATCACAGATTTTCCTGATTTTTTTAATTTATTTTTTTATTTTTTGCGACACGGCCAAAAAATACTACGCTCACGTATAAGCATTGTTGCCAATGGTACTGAGAAAAAAGTTTCTGTGTTCTGCACATATTTTAAAAGATTATTATATATCAGTCAATTCATTTCTTTATCGAGGATAATAAAATATTATGCAGGATTGTATTACATGATATATAAAAAGTTACAAAAACATAACCATGCATTCAGTAAAGCAAAAAAAAAAAAAAAACAATTAGATTCATTTTTAGCACCCTTTAGAGTTTTCTGTGCAAATGGGATTAATCAGTACAAAAGTACATAAAGGACGTAAATACGCCATTATTTACTATTTATTTTTGATTATGATAGCTCCTAATTACCTGTAACTAATGTGGATTTAATTTTAATGTAATAGATTTAGTGGTGTGTTAAATCTGTCCATCAGTGTATTTTCGACGTAGTATCAACGAAAAACAATTAATTAAAATCAGTGTTACCAACTGCTATACACCTCATCTTGTAAGAAGCCAAAATTCTCAGAAATTTATGTTTATCATTTTCTGATAGAGCAACAGAATTGTGTTAAAGTAAAAGTTAGATAATAGTAAAATAAATATTACGCATGCATGTGCCTCTGTATATGCATTTCGTGGAATATTAACATATTTATTTATTTATATACATATTTTTTTTTTAAACTTATAAGTATAGCCATACTTAAAGAATCAGCCCGGTGTCGTCCTGATGAAACAAATCTACCAGAGCCAATAGAACCTGCCCTGTTTCTCGCTTGGTAATAAGATTTATTCATGCATTGCCCATCTTCTCTTCTTCGTGTTGTGTCACTTTCACTGACACAACGATTTCTCCGGCGATCACTGGGTAAAGGCCCACATGTAGTTTGATCTTCATTTGCCTGATAAAAAAAAGTTCAATTTTATAACTGATAACATTTCATTACAAGAAAGGGAATTAAGTTTATTTAAATTAAGCATACTTCAATACGAAAATCTTCGATACTCTTAAATTTGGATAGGTATCCTTTTAGTTTAGGGTCCACTGTTAGTTCTGAGCTGTGTTTATAATACTTCAAAAATGCCCAAAACTTTTCTAAACCGTATAGTTGTCCTATAAAAATTAAGTCATGCAATAAAGAAAACAATATTGAACACATCAAGTGGTTTTGGGAAAAGGGAAGTGTTCGGTATAAGCTGGGACTTGAGGCTGGGAGTCTATTATCTATAAGGACTCTTACTATCTTACCATTTTCGTAATCTGCCATAGTTTCCATCTGAAAATCTTGGTACAACTGTGGTCTAAAAAATTTTTCTAACCCATAGCTGTAATAGCGAAACAAGCACTCTAAACCATACCTACAAACAAAAACGATATGTAATTTAAGACAATAATTAAATAAAATAAAGCATTGGTTGGCAATAGTTTGAAAATTAGTTTAAAGTTTTCTAATTTTTCATTGATAAAATATATTTAAAAGTTCACTAATTTTGTGGTCCGCTTGACCAATTAATATATTACAATTAATTAATTATTAATTAATTTGAGAATCCAAACCGATTACACATTTGAAAAATGGTAAAAAGGAGGGAAAACTCAAAAGGTGGGGTTGAGATTGGAAGTTGGTGTCCGAGTGGATCGAGGTCACGATAGCTCAAGTGGTAGAGCAGCGGCGTATCAAGCCGAAGATCGTGGGTTCGAATCCCGCTTGTGCCATTGACTTTTTTATCTCAACCAAAAACCTTAATTAATTGTAATATATTTAAAAGGTTCGTTGTGAAGTTGTAACAGAAATATAGCTTTCTCCGGTCAAATTAACCCTTTTTAATAGCAAACTAACCTGATTTACCTTTAAATTAACCTTTTTTTAAATAAAATTAGCCCATTTTAATTTCAAATTAATCTTTTCTTGAAAACATAAAAAAGTGTAAGCACGTAAAGTAAAATTCCTGCAGTTGTCACGTAAAACTTGAATATATGGAATAGTATAGCAATTTCCCAACAAATTAACCCTCTTTAATTTGAAATTAGCACTTTTTAATGCCAAAATAATCCTTTCTTTAAAACAAAATTAAGTAAAAATTCTATATTTGAAAAAATGTTATGAAATTTAAAATTATATAAAATAAAATATAAAAATGAAGGAGTCTTCTTTTAGTTGAGAAATTTGAATATTTTTTATTAAGTGCACAATTGTTTTATATTTAAAAAATATATACAATTTTTTTTTTAATGCAGGAATTTTACTTTACATGCTTACATTACATGTTATAAAAAGAGGATTAATTTGAAATTAAAAACAACTAATTTATTATTTATTTTATTATTATATTTATTTAAAAAGGGTTAATTTTTAAGGAAGGAAGGATGAATCGACCGTCAGGATATCACTAATAAGTTCAAGCTCCGGTATGCAGTCATCAAAAACAAGTAAGTTTTGTAACTTATGCCAAGCTCTAAACCTTCATTGAGGTCTTCATCAAGGCTCTACAAGAAATAACAACGTTTATAATTAATAAATATTATTGTTACTTATTATTTATTAATTATAAACGTTGTTATTATTTGTAGAGCCCTGATGAAGACCTCAATAAAGGCTGAAAGCTTGGCATAAGTTACAAAACTTACTTTTTTTTTGTTGACTGCATCCCTGATCTCTAACTTACTAGTTAATTTTAAGGTAAAACCAGTTAAATCACTATTAAATGGTTAATTTGAAGATAAAAAAAGTTAATTCAAAATAGAAAAGTTTTTATGTGAAAAAGAGGTAATTTGAAATTAAAAAGGGTCAATTTGATGGGAAAAAGCTTAACTATTCCTTTTATGCAAGTTTTTCTTGTTAAAAATGAGCTTCCATTCAGCTGTTCTTGCTTTAATTTCCTAGGTTTAATGGCACAATGCAATATTAATATATTTATTTATTCTTCAATTTATTATAATGTAACAAATATGTTCCTAGGAAAAGTAAAAACATTTAGTGTTCAGTTCCAGTTTAAACTCTTGACAATCAGTTTACTGTATGAATTATTTTGTATTGCATATACATTACCTGAAACCTTGCTTTGCATCTTCCAATGCCAAGCGTTTAAATTCCTTATACATTGTTTGGTTAAAATGTTGTCGAAGAAAGAACGACCAAAATCTGAACAATGTATTCATTTCTTGCGATTGCCCAGGGCCGAGATGTTTCCTTTCTGTAAAAACAGATCAAAACGAATTAGCATTATATTTTTCGCTAAAACTTCAATTTTATTAATTTATACAGAAGTTTCAGTTTACAAATGTTACTGTTTGTAAGCGTACCTTTCAAACATCTTGAGTGATATTTGTGATATACTTGATGGGTAAAATTGTTTTCCTTCAACAACGAATGCGAGGGATGTTGAAATGATGGCAATGAACTTGGCGCACTACTTCCAGACAGATAACCATCATTGGGACTTGTGCCTGTACTACTTCTGGAACAAAGTTACAGAATTAACACAATGAATATTAAATGAGAATTCCATTAAGAAAAATCAATGATGAATACATGATAAAACATTAATTATATTTTATTTTTAATTAATGAGAAAGTGTAAAAATAAAGCAATTGTATAAACTATTTATTGCTCATACTTCTTTTTTTATCTCATGAAGGGTGGTCTAAGTAAACCTTATTTAAAATGTTTAAAATGTTGATCATTGTCACTAGAATAAATATTGTACCAACCAAAACAACAGTCAATAAGACAAAAAAAATATATCTCCTGAAAGTTGATATGCACACATATTTTAGAATGTGGGCTAATTTATTAATTGAATTTTACACTTAATGAGGAAGAGCACTAAACCTGTTTCGTTTGAACTGATTGGAACCGAGCTTTGTTCGAATTAGGAAAAATTTGGATTTGCCGAATAACTGGAAATAATAAAAGGTGTGGTAGTGACTCGAAACAAGGTGAAAAATAAACTGGAATTTATGAGAAAAAAAAGTGGGACAAGGGTAAGAGTGTAGTGAAGTCGTTTTGGATCATTTGGGTCTATTTATTCTCACAATTTAGGTTTGTTGGATGCATTTCGGCTTCTCACTATCTTCAATTTTTACTTATATTGTTTTTTAAAAAAACCCACAACTGAGAATATATAAGATTTTCAGATATACAAGTTGAAACACATCTGTCAGTCCAAAACGTTCTGAGAGGACCAAGAATTTTTACCCAGAATTTCTTTGTGCCCTTGTGAAAATATTTCAGGTCTGTCATAGTCAGGTTGTTGTTTTCTGCCGACTGAAACATTCAGAAAGGATCAAGAATTTTTATCCAGAATATTTTTGTGCACTGGCACACAAAATATTTTCAAGGGTGTTTTTCCAGGAAATTTTGGATGCCTTCACTGGCTGTTCGTTAATATAATTTAAAATACCACATTTTCAAAATGAAAATTTCCTCTCTGCCGACTGAAACATTCAGAAAGGATCAAGAATTTTTATCCAGAATATTTTTGTTCACTGGCACACAAAATATTTTCAAGGATGTTTTTCTCAGGAAATTTTGGATGCATTCACTGGCTGTCCATTAATATCATTTAAAATTCCGTATCTTCTAAACTAAAAATTTCCTCTCTCCCAACCAAAATTTGTTCAGAATAACAGGATTCCACAGTGTACACTTTTAGTGTTGTTACTTTTAAAAATATAAACCTACTTAAATAAAACAAATTTAAAAACTTCTAAGTACATAAATATATTTTAAGTCTACGTAAGACTATTTTGACAAGTAATTAGCTGAGTGTCAAGGTTTCATTTTTTTCTGATGCTATGAAATCGTTAGCATTTTATAAATTATTTTTCAACTGTACAAAGATTTCAAAAGAGTATAATCTAAATCCTAACATTTTTAATCAATTTAGTACCATAATAAAAACAAACCCAGTTGACGTTGTCCGTGGTCGATGCTCCTTTACGTCCATAATCCAGCCAACATGGTGTTCAACGGGAGGATTTTGGCTATGTCTCGTTTTCCGCTTATAACCTTTCTCAGGTCTTTCAGGATCTTTAACTACAGCATAGAACCGCGCTGATTTTAGTCCTCGATTTTTATCTGTTCCCTTCTCAGGAGATTCAGCAGTAACCTCAGGAACATCCTTAAAAATTTGTATTCTAATTCCTGTTTCTTTTTAGTATTATATGAAATTATTTACCTCATTTTCAGTAGAATTGTCTTCTTCAAAATCATGGATATTTAGAGATGGGGGAGGAGGAGGTGGCACCTCTTGATTGCATTTGCGAGGAACCTTTGGAGCCATTCTCTCAAAGTCTTCAGGAGCAATGACTTGTACTGATTTATAAGTGGAAGAAGATGAAACCTTAACAATTAAAATTATAGCTATTACTATTGACAATTCAAACAATTACACTTAAAATTACTAAAACAGAAAACAATATTTTTTTTCCTAAAGCTAACATAGCACTCTCTAATGTTAGAAAATGACTGTAGACATTTGTTTATTAGCCATACCCGTTGATTCCAAAGGCTTTCCTCATAATACTGTAGTCCGAGATTTATCGCTTGTTCCAAATCCTGTGACATTTTCACACGAGTAGTCCAATCTCCTGTTCTATCATGTCCTTCGTGTTTTATCCCTCTAGAAGACTGTGAAGTCTGAGTAACGATTAAAAGTTTATTTATTTCGTTATCACTGATTTCATAGTCATCTTCGTCGTCAGACCTACAATTTAATTTGAGAAAATCCTTTTTGAAATAACCTTTATTGCCAATGAATTTAAATTTTCATTAGTGTATCAATTAAGACAATGTTTGTAAAAATAACATGGCAATAATTACCATTCGCTAAATTTATTGATTCGTCCAACAGGTACGGCGAGTTCTTCATCAAACTGAAAATCAAGTTCGTCCCTTTCTTTCGCATGATTTGACAGTTGCTCAGAATTGTTCTGTTCAAGTTTATACACTTTTGGCCCAAATGGTTTTGATTTTCTTTTTACCTAAAAGTGAAATTGTGTAAGACATTCATGCCATAATATAATTATAATTAGTTGAGACTGGGACATCTAAGAAAATCCCAACTCAAAAAGTATAAATAATATACAAAAACTCATTGAAAACACGACCACTTTTTTTCCTAAATAAATTGCAATACATGATGCATACAAGTATTAAAATAAAATAGTAAAATAAGTGAAAAACAGGACATTTATATATTCACCATACCTCTTTCCAAACGAATTCATCCTGAGGGCCATCGTTAGATGTTTTAACTTCTGGAAAGAAAAAATAAACTATTTATAATAAAAGAAGAAAAATGAAAAGTTAAATAAACTTCTAGTTTTATGGAAAATAATATAATTACCTTCTACTTTTTTTTCTAAGCTTTCTGTCTTTTCTTCCTTCGATTGTTTCCCGTCAACCGTTTGCTTTGGTTTTTCCAGTTTATTTTTCTCATTTTCTACTGTATCTAAATAAATAAACAAACAAAACCAATAACAATTAGGATATATGATTCATCATTATTTGTGTTACCTTCGATTGAGTTTTCTGATGAAAGGACTGGAACGAATTCAGGCACTTCTGGATTTAAATTTTCATTCCCGATGGAATATGTGACAGGAGGGGGAACAACTGGAAGAGGAAAAGCGTTGTTGCCTCTAACTAAGTTCGTTTGTGTATTTACGACAGGCATTTGAATAACCGGTGCCCCTAAGGGATGCATAGCAAGAGGATGCTGAGGAGTCAGAAATATCGGATTCCCAACTGTGTCGGGTATAGGCCATTTGGTCGGTTGGTTCTTTGTCCTCACCTGTAAGAAATTATTTCTAAATACCAACACTTACAATAAAACACTTATATAAAAAACTTTAAAATGGAGATTACCTTAAAATTATCAACTAAGTCAAGTTGATCAGAGGAGACGATAGCATTAATAATTTTGTTCATGTCTGTAGTAAGCGCCCTAACTCTATGGAAAGAAGCAATTAATGTAATAGGAAGATAACCATTTGGATCCATCTTTCTCCTTATGAACAAATCTTTCATTAAGTTTTCTTCCGAAAAATAATATTCACTGAAATAAAAAATTAATATTATTAACAACCAAATCAATAATCATCAAGGATTAATTAATACTGATTAATTTTTCTTACATTTGATTCCGGAGATATTCAGTTAAAGTTGGATCATCGAGGCTGTTATAATTTGAACTATCGTAGTAATACGTCCCAAAATACGGTACCATAAAGTCGCTACTTTCAATAAATTTGTGAAGCTTTAAAAAGAAAAAAGAATATTAAATCTTTTCCACTTGTGCAAATTAGAAAACATTGTAAATTAAAAAAATGATAAAACACCTGGGTATAATCCGTAGGATAGTCTGAATATTCTGGATTGGGATACTTTTGCCTGACACTTCCTCCTCGTGCTCGGCCACGTCCTCTCTCTATATGCTTGCCTCGGCCTCGATTGACCATACCGTTTTCCCTAACTGGTACAATTAACAAAAGTTTACACCACTGTCTTGACAAAGTGTGTTTATTGTAAAGCAGATGGTTACATATTGAAACAATAATAAACTGTTGTAAAAAAAAAGCCATAAACTAAAAAAAAAGATGCTTACCAGCTGTTTTCTCTTTAAAATATGGCTTTGGAGACCTTTCTCGTTTTGCTCTTCCTTTGCTAATATCAATTTCAAGAGGAACCCATTTTTGCTTGGAAAGGACTGAAACATGCGAATGATTATACTAAATAAAACTTTTTTTTTTAAATAAGTTACCTTTATTTTTAGTTTTCTTTTTATCATTCTCACTGGAATTCTGATCAGAATCTACGCCTCCAGTTGAATTATTCTCACCACTAGTCGATTCCTCTTTCACGGTTGGTAATTCTTTTTTGGTTAATATTCCAGGTGCGGCAGCAGGAGGAACTGGAGTCGTAGGCTTTTTTTGCTACAAAAATCATCATTAAACGCATTACTTTTTAATAATGTTTTCTCACTTTTGTCAGATTTTTTTTAAATTTTATTAATTAAGAATAATAGGTTGATTCAGTTGGACTTCTTTTTAAAAAAATCACAATTACTCTCATTCAATTTCATTGAAGCATTAACTATGCTTAAATAGGACCTATATTCTTAATCTTGGTCAAATAATTCTTTAAAATTGACAAGAACTTGTGAGTATGAATTTAGAAAAAGGTAAAAACATGGCGTTTGTACTTACAGTCATGCTATGTGTCACTTTTCCTAATGACGGCCAATCTTCAACATCTGAGAAGTCACTTCCCTACAACAAAATTTGTTTTTGTAATGTTATTTTATATAATTTATTACTCTATTAGGTTTTATGGACAATTGTTATTTGCATTCTGATGCGTATCACTTGACCAAGATGTTTTACATGAAAATATTTATCCTTCCTATATTTATTGTAATTTTTTATTATTAAAAAAAATTGAAATAAAAGAAAAACCCTCAGATCCTTCATCAAGCTTCTGAAGAATTTATACCCTTCATCAGGACCTTGATACCGTTATTAATAAGTCACAAGATACTTGAAACTTTTGACATCAAATACTGATTTCAGAGTCTGTTTCATATTGGAAATATAACAATTCTTTGACATTTTAATGTAAAATTACTAACAATAAACACTCGATATCAACTATATCAAGAAATATACTTGTTTTCACATAAATACTACAAAGAATTTAAATATCGTGATAGCAAATTATTATTCTGACATTACAGTTTTTTCCTTAAAAATTACATACCACTGAATAACGAAATAAACTGGGGTAGCCTACCTTTTTAGACAATTTTCTTTTATCCTTCGGTGCATTTGCTGGCACAGTTTGGCCGTAAGTACCATTTTCTGAAAGCAAAAAATAAACTAATTATAATGTATGTATTAAGACATAAAAAAGCTTATCACTAAGTTTTAACTGTTAAGCAAACATATTTTTATTGCACTTAAATTGTACAACATTAATGCATTATTAGATTAATTTAATTGTTTTTCAAACCTAAACAAGAATCCATAAAGTTATGAAACGCCTAAAAAGATAAAAGACTTGAATTATTATTTATGATGTGTGATCTTTCGGTGTTTTAATGTTAATGTCGGAGCGGTGAGCTGCTTGTTTGAACAAGTGTCTTCTTAGTTCATTTTTCTTTATATTTCAAGCAATCAGGACAACAAGGAACATATGTATTAGTGTTAAATATTTGTTTACACAAATTCATGCCATTGTCTAAAGTTTAAACACCAAACCAAAAGCGAGACAAAAGGAAAGAACTGGATCTCTTTAGTCACATGGCATATAGATATAATTGATTAAAAGTTTGGTGAGGAAATAAATGGTGGGGATTTTGTCGGTATCGGTGGGTTAAGCCCCCAAAAACGGGCAGTCGTTGTAACAAGCAGCTCGGGCCAAATTTCACCTAAAACCTGTTCCAGACCATAGCGACTTAGCATTGCACAACCGTCTCCCCCTACATCCAGTAACCCACTAGCACTCTTTTCTCCCTCCTCTAAACTTCCCTAAACTAATGATTAACTCATAAAAATATTGAAATATGACATCGTATTGGGTGAAAATCCAAGCTTTGCACTGACCAAAATTAAATAAACTCAATAATCAATTTTCCATTTTATAGATGCGTACATATTTATAGATGTACAATTAAGAGAAATTATATTAGTAAATATCAGAGAAATCTTTGAGATCTGCCTGAACTATTATATTCACATGATATATCATTCAGTAACCCTGGTTTGACATAATTTATTGTCTATAACTCTTCTCCTCAGCCTACAGTATTTCTTTTATGGCCTTTTGTCAATCAAAAACGGACTAATCCCATAATTCTTAAATACTGTATTTGTTTTTTAATGCTTTAAAGAAATGGTTAATTTGAAATTAAAAAGGGTTAATTTCAAGTTAAAACAGGTTAATTTGCAGATAAAAAGATTTATTTGCAGTTAAAAAGGGTTAATTTGAAATTAGGAATTTTAATTTGAAGTTAAGAGAGTTAATGTGAAGTTAAAAAAGATTAATTTTAGGTTAAAAAGGGTTAATTTAAAGAAAAAACTGTATTACATGCTATTGTAAAAAGGTATATTTTCCTTTTGTTAGACTGGACTGATTAATGTGTAGAGATTAGTGACCGTTAATCGATAGTTATTCAGATATCGTGAGATGCGGTCGGGTGTGATGTAGGTTTCAGAAAAACATTTTCTTTATCGTGCCAACGTTTCAATCTTTTATTGAGATCATCTTCAGGGCTCAATAAAAGATCGAAACGTTGGCACGATAAAGAAAATGTTTTTCTGAAACCTACATCACACCCGACCACATCTCACGATATCTGAAGGACTAATTAATATTTTTTTATTATTGTTTTACTAGCTCAAACTGAATTGAATTGAAAATTCAAAGGTGTATAATGAAGTTAATTTCTCTTAAACTTGTACTGTTTTAACAATAACCAGAGGGGACCCCATTTATTTATTTTATTTATTTATTTATTTTTAATTAGACCCAGACGTTTGAACTTTCATGATATTTACTGTTTATGTATATGTATTGTATAAGTATAGTTGTTTTGAAAAAAATGCATCGTGTGAACGAAACAACCCAGGTCCTGGAAAAATTTCTCGCTACTGAATTTCTTCTGAACCTACTTCTTTTTCTGTACCTGTTATAATGGATATAGTGTCTGCTCATCCGAGAAGAATTTTAAAAAATTCAAAACTAATCGCAAATTGTTTTGAACAAGATGAATGCTTTTTGCAATGTCTTTGGTGAATGCACTGAAACAGAAGAATGAAACCGAAAAGGAAAAAAAAAATGATGAAATCGCTTTTGACCCAGATAATGTATTGGAATTTGAGGATCTCAATAATATTGATCTAAAGTATATATGTATCTAAAGGCGAAACGTTTTTGTTCACTACACAACAGGAAATACGACAAAGGAATAGGTTGTCGAACATAATACATGCTGACTTTTTTCTCTGAAATCATCGATATACTAATTAACAAGGACTGTACAAAATTGAAAATTAATAATCAAATCATGATTATCCAAGTAAATCGATGTTGATAATGAGGAAATATATGCAATTATTGGGTTACTAATTTGCAGTGGGGCTAATAAAAGCATACGAGATCCCGTTTGTAAGCTTTGGATGAACAAATTTTGTCCTCGAACTGTAAATAGATCCTTATGTTTGCTTTTTATTTATCTTGTTTTTGTATTTTGTAATGAAATTCATTAGTGTAATTTTTTGTATCAATAATTTTAAAAATTTGTTAAAAACTAATTCATTTATTAATATTAGACCGTGTCTATTTTAGTGAATTTGTGAACATGAAATTAGTTCAGATAAATTAAAATTAAATAGCAAAAATAACAACAAAAAGAGGGGCACATGGTGCAGAAACATAATTTCATTAGTATGATACTGGACATGTTAAACAAAAAAATAATTCGCGATGTGGCTGAAAATTTGAATTGGGAGATTTCCTCTTTACGATAGTCGTTTCCGACCATTTTGGTATGTCCACTAACCCACCATTCCCATGATGGAAAGAAGCTAGATGCATTTGATAGGCCAAAACGGTGAAGAAATCAGGCTAAATTGATTGGAAACGATCAAACTGAAAAAACTATTAACACGTTCAAGTGATGACTTTCAGGGGAGCTAAACTGCCAGGCCAACAGATAAGCAAATTTATCATTTTAAAAAATTGAAATTGTCCAGGTGGGGTAAAATTGAACTTCCAGCCAGCATTATATTAGTTTACTCTGGAAGCATCCTGTGTGTAATATTCCAGATATAACGAGAATAAATATACCCATGTATCGTTATATTTTTTAGAGTTCACTTGTAATCGACTGTGCCTCTTCTACATTAGGATTAACAATTATTTGAAGATCATGAAATGCAGTCTGGTGTGACGTAGGTTTTAGAAAAACATTTTATTTATCGTGCCAATGTTTTGATCTTTATTAAGATCATCTTCAGGGCTACATTTATTGTTTATAAATCCCAGACCCTGAAGATGATCTCAATAAAGATCGAAACGAAATGTTTTTCTAAACGTGTGATAATTAGAAAATGTTTTTCTAAACCCTACGTCACACCAGACCGCATCTCACGATCTTCAAATAACATTAACTAACGGTCACTAAACACCACACATTAGGATTAACTACATTTACATTTATTTTTTATAATTAAATAAAAACACACATGCAGATAATAAAACTGCCTAAATAGGGCGCCAAAACTTCACAGGACAAATAAAAAATAAATAGTTAATTTTACTCGCCTTCTAATGGCCCAACAGCAATACAACTAATCAATAACTTAATAAGAGAAACAACAAAAAGAAAAGCTATTAAGTTATCACATAAACAAATTGGTTGGAAAATTGCTTTCTCCATTAACGTAGCACATCGAAGATAGAAGGAAAACCTTCCATTGTGTTTAAATGGAAAGCAAACGACTTGTATCTCAGACAAGAGCAATCCACAAAATTTAAAGAATTTATTTATTCATTGATACAATGCCTCAGAGGAAGATTTGAATAATTAGTAATTACTAAGTACTAACAAGTTCCTGTGTCAAAACATCCAAAACTACTGTATTTTGGGTTAATTCAAGTTTAATTTTATTTTTTATTATTTTTACTATCTTACTTTGAACAATCAAACAAGCTTGTGTGGTGTTTAGTGACTGTTAGTTAATTAATGATTATTTGGATATCATGAGATGCAGGTTTGTACTCACAAACACACAAACACTTTGAGTGAGTACAAATACTTTGAGTATAAACTTTCTAGCATTGTATAAATTCACTTTTGTCACATCCTACATGTATATCTATAATTTAAACAATGTTTATAAATCCCAGGCCCTGAAGATGATCTCAGTAAAGATTGAAACGTTGGCACGATAAAGAAAATGTTTTTGTAAAACCTACGTCACACCAGACCACATCTCACCATCTCCAAATAATCAAACAAGCATTAATTGCTAAATCATGCAATATTAGAACTCCTAAACGATGCATTCATATTCGTTTGCACTTATTTGACGGTTTTAAGATGAAAAACAACCGGCCTACAGATGCCTAAATGCAAGGCAAACACGTACAGTCAGTATACAGCAAATCGGTAAAGAATTAAATTTTGGAAATTTTTATGCAGCAAAGGATGGTTACTTTTTATTGAATTGACTGACCATTTCATTTTAATGTACCATCATGTATTGAAAAAAGTATTACAAATTTTATTTTATTGAAAGCGTTTGGACCCAATCAAATAGAAATATTTGTACATATAAATAAGGAATTTTTAAAAATATCAGCATATTTATTGGCACTGGCAAAAATTAACGTATGATGGTTATAAAAAAATAAATTTCCCATTTTTTTCCCTGCCGAGCTAGGGCTATTGCCCTAAGTTTTGAAGATCTCAAATGTTTTTGATATATTGCTGAGATCCCACCACAAAATTATGTACAGCCTAAACCTGCGGTTGGGGACTCGGCAAGGCGATTTCCAATCTGACTTTTCATTCACACCAATAGATACATTCACACAGTAAAGATCATGCATTAACATCTTGAGTTATATTCTATACAGACCAAGTCCATACACACTTAACCACGCAAAAAAATACATTCACACAATTAGGCAGTCACCAGGGTTTTTGATATTATGCCAGTGACTACCCCTCTGGGTTATTATCTTGCAGTCTGTAGGGTGATAAACATATTGTTTGATACGTGGTTACCTACCATCTTGGTTTGTCTATCTTGACTGATTATTTTGTTGGTTCAATCATGTTTGAGCATTTCAC